TTGCGAGAGTATAAAAACACTAAATTTCGTAGGTACATACTAACTAAATCGATTAATTTTGTTTTAAAAAAGACACGCGAAAAATACCTTAAATTTATTTTTACATGATATTAATAAAATTTACCGTTCGGCTAATGCGCGAACAGAAATTGTTTTCCGCACTAGCGTTGATAATTTAATTTTTTTATTTGCAAAGTCCCGTTTTCATTTCGTAAATACTACATACTTACAGGGTTTCGCGTCCGCCCAACAGAGGATTATGTTGGATTTGTTATGAAAAAATAATCTCTTTGACCGTTGAGAAGAAGTTCGCGTCCGCTCCTTAGAGGTTTTTTGTTCAATATAATATCAAATCATTGCCCACGTTCGCCCAAGAGAGAGTCCGTCTAGAGAGGATCATTTGTTCTAACAATTGTACTTAAAACTTGGTGCATTAAAAAATGTCCGCTCAACGGAGGTGTCCGTATAATAGAGGTGTCCGTTAGGAGAGGTTTCTCTGTATGTGCTATAGCTTGAATAGTTTGGGAGATATATACACATAGCCAATAAAGTCTGCGTTCACCCGACACTATTTTTTAAGTGAAGTAAAACACAATGTAAATAGGTAATTCAGTTCAAATTTTCTACATGTATTTCTTCTTTATATAATATTTTTAAGTTCAAAATGCAAAAACAAAAATGTATATTCCTATTTTCATTTTTGTGATAATGGGATTTTAGTGTAAGGAGAAGTAAACATGAGCACCATTAAGTCTGCGTTCAGCTTTAAGATTAGTTACAAAAGTATTAAAAATGATAAAGAAAAATTAAATTCTATATTTTCTTGGATAGCCGCGTTGTTTTAAAACCTCGCTCAATCAATTTGGCATTGATCTTACCAACTTATCTGTTTATCCTCAGCTGTAATCTGGGACCATTCTTCTTTCATAACAGTTCACAAAGCCTCTTTACTTGTTATTGTATGCTGACCAATTCTTTTTTCCAACAGATCCCATATATACTCAATAGGATTGAGGTCAGGTTTAAGTTGTCTAGCAGCATTGTACAAGAGACAAAGTCTAACTATTTCCGCAGTATGCTTCGGGCCATTATCTTGTTGGAACCAAAACGTCGAAGATAATCCGAAATTCTCTGCACTTTGCTTTAAATTGTTTTTTAAAATGTTCAAATAACCCCATTTATCCATTGTGGATTCAATAAATTCAAGCTGACCCACACCACCAGCCGCCATGCAACCACACACCATAATTCCGCCACCTCCGTGATTAACTGTACCAACAAGATTTTGCTTTTCACGGGCAGTTCCTGACCTGCGCCACACAATTTGTCCACCCTTTATGCCAACAATGCAAAATTTACTTTCATCCGAAAATATTACTGGTCTCCAGAATTCCGGCGACTTATTTATATAATTATGAGCAAATTCAATGCGCTTTTGCCTGCTTACAAGTGAAATATATGGTTTCTTTCGAGCTATTCTACCATGACATCCAGCTTTTCGTAAAATTTTTCTAGCTGTTTCGGCACAAATTGTTTTTTTTTTGGTTATATTTACGTTTTCAATAATCTTTGTGGACGTAATTCGAGGGTTAACTTTCACCATATTTATTATTTTCCGTTCTTTCCGGGCTGATAATATTTTCGGACGGCCAGATCGCGGTTTTGAAGTTAAAATTCCGGTTTTTTTTTTAATTGTTTACGACGTTCTGGACAGAAAAATACGTTCTTTCAATAGTTTGCCCAATTTTTCTGAAACTTTCGCCATCTTTCCACAACTTAATGATACTTTTTCTTTCCGACAGACTAATTTCTTTTCCTTTGGTTTCCATTTTTTTAAATATTGTATTATTAAAACGCGTCACGAGCTCTTTAAACGACTAATTATCTTAAAACACAATACAATCTACGAAAAAAGAACGAAGAAGTTCATGAGAAGTAACGGTATTTCCAATTCAAGCTAACTGAACGCAGATTTACTGGTGCCTATGTTTACTTGTTCTTACACTAAAATCCCTTTATCAGAAAAATGAAAATAGGAATATACATTTTTGTTTTTGCATTTGGAACTAAAGAATATAAAGAAGAAATACATGCCGAATATTTGAACTGAATTACCTATTTACATTGTGTTTTTACTTCACTTAAAAAAATGTGTCGGCTGAACGCAGACTTTATTGGCTATGTGTTCATAAACCCTTTTAGGGGGCGGAGCCACGACCACTTTTTTTACTCATAAATCTTATTTACCTTTCATATTTATATTTTTATAGTATAAAACACGGTAGATATAATTTTTTCCTAGGTAGGTAGGGAGAGTGGCTGTCTGACGAGGCACCTAGGCCTATAGGAGATCCATTGTGATACCACTGGGGCTAATGTTCCCTCACTCTATTGTCTCCTCTCTGAACCAACCTCTGCTTTTGATGAAGTTCATCAGTATAAATAGTTTTAAATGACAACTTCTGCTACGTCGTCAAGGAACCCTCAACCGATAGTTACGATTCTTTTCCTGTATAGAGCTTTACATTCGCATAGAAGCTGTTTTACAGTCTCCTCTTCTTCTCTCTCCTGACAGAGAGCAGCCAGTATATGCATTATTGTAGCTCTTAGAACAACGCCAAGTCAGCACTCAAAGTTATTTTACAAGTGGCAGCGAAGTCAGCTCCAAGACTGAGGGAATCCTCCCAATTAGTCGCCTGAAACAAGGGCCATTCTAAGATACTTAGTAAGTTCCCGTTTCTACCCACAACCACGGATTTTCGCAATCCTACTACAATCTCCTGTACCAAATTACAGTTTTGTATCTTAATTTAGTGGATAATTATGATATTTTCTATTAGCCTTTTCAACCTTTTTAGGAGAATTGAGGAGAGGCTTAGTGAAGGGATATAGTTATAAAATCGCCTCCTTAATAATGGTTACTAGCCAATCTATTATGTAATTCTGCGACTGTTGTAATTGAGCCGGGAAAAGCCCATCTGGTCCCGGCGACTTGAAGGGCTTGAAGCTATTTATCGCCCAGCGTACGTTTCTTTCTGAGACTATATCTATAGGAGTGGAGTCTATTTCTGCTTCGCTATCTTGTGTATACTCTTCAGTATGGCTTTCAGAGCTACCTGGGAATGGGTATCCATTAGTAGGCTTAGTGACTCTTCACTGGATACCGTCTAGCTATGTCTGGCTTCTTCGCCTTGGGATAGCTTAGCTAATTTGAACTGCTTTCTACAGTCTTTCTGTAACTTCTTAAGTTCTAGAGACCACCATAGGAGCCCAATTCTACCCCTACGTCGTGTTATTGGAAAAGCCACCTCTAATGCTTGCCGGCAAAATTCGGTGAATCGTTAACGAGGATGTCGGGGTCCTTTTTGCTTTTGGGCTAAAACGGCGGAATCATAGGTATATGTTTTTTCAACTCTTGCATGTACACCAGTCAGTTCGTTTTCCTATGATTCCTGAAGTTATTGCCTCTATCTGTCCTTTCCTCAGTAATACATTCAATATATTGGTGATCCGAAAAGGAATGTTCTTCGAGAACCCTCCATTGTGTTACCCTGTCAAATAGTTCTTCCGACACAAGTGTGATATCCAGCACTTCTTGTCGGTTTCTTGTAACAAACGTTGGCGTGCTTCCCTTATTACACATCAGTAACTTAGGGCCTAGTAGGTAATTAAAGAGACTCTCACCTCTGAGGCGCGTTTGAGTCGCACCCAAGTATAGTCAAGCACTTGAATGCCTCGCTATCCCGTACCACCTCTTTTACCATCAGAGGTGGCACATGCTAGTGGACGTATGGCATATCAAGACACCATACGGTAACTACTTGCGCGCGTTTCCCAGCTTACTGCTGTTGAGTCATGGTTGATAACATAAAAACGTTAAGGTTTTTTTTATCCATTATGCATGCTCCGACTTCTGAAAAGAAACTGCTCAGCAAGTTTGGTTGATTTAGCTTCAGTGGATTGGAAGATATGGACATTAAACCATTTTGGGGGCGAAATGCCGCCCACTTTAATCAAAAATGTTTGCCCACAGATTTCCATAGCTACTACAATCTCCTGTACCAAATTACAGTTTTGTATCTTAATTTAGTGGATAGTTATGATATTTTATACGTTTTCGCTTAACGGTAGTTAGTTGATCTAATATGTTAAGATCAACCGGATGTTTGAAAATCCTGATATTTGTTATATGGAAGCTAGAGAAATTTTTAACTTGATTTTACACATTTTAAACACAAAGATACGCTGTTATTAGAAAAATACGCTCTCTCTCAATTTCATTAAGATAACTAACACATTGACCGATATATGCGGTATAAAGTCGGCCGGAAGTTCAAAAATCATTATATTAGGTATATGGAGCTAAAGGAAGTATTCATCCGTTTCAACCCATTTTTGACATACAGGCATTCGAATTTCAGATTGACAAATATTTTCGATAATAAAATCGTGGAATGTGGAATTGGGGTCCAGATATTCAGTATCTGGGCGATTAAAGGCACTATTTGCGCAAAGTGTGGTTGTAGATCGATTTCGCCCATTTTCGCACAGTAATACTTGTATAAGAATTTCAAGATAATGTTCCAAATTTGGTTGAAATAGGTAGAGAAGGTTTGCAGATATGACAAAATTTTGATACCGGCTCCTATAAAGACCTCTCGTACCTATTGTTTCGTCAAGATTTCTCAAATTTTACTCAAGCTACAGCTTGCACAGGCGGATGGACAGACAGTTAAGCGGATTTCAACTCGTCTTATCATCCTGATCATTTATATATACATATATGTATGTATATGTATTACCTTATATGTACCTCGATTAGCTTTTGAAAAAAATTATTATACTCTGTAGCAATATGTATGTTGCAAGAGTATTAAAATCGACCCGCTCTAGTATGTATGTATATTCTTTACATCCACATACAAATCGAAAGATTCAAATTATTAAGATGTTGATTTAATTCTTATTTATATGAAGTGAAATCAATCAGTTTAAAATTACATGCCGCTGATAGACGTCGGTTTTGAAATACAGTGCACTCAATATTTATATGTTACTTTCAAAAGAAAGCCATATACCTACATACGCATATGTACTAAATATTAGGTTGTTAAGAAAATGAACTCCTTAAGGAATATCGCAGTTCCATTTGCTTTAAATTTTATTACTTACGGTGCAGTTTCTGGAGGTAAGACTTGTGAATTGTAGAACCATTAAGCTCTGAGCTCTCACAGCCATCAATGCCTTATCACCAATTTGTATGTATTTGACCTATAACAAACAGCAGGCGTTCACAGACATCGGTATGTGAAAGACAATATAATATGTGAGTTTACATATCTATATTTATACATGTGTATTTGTATGTGTATATACCCCAGTCGGCATACGTTTATTAAATAATGTTTTTTTCTAGGGACCGTAAATAATGAGTATTGTTGCGATTTTTAAATGAAAAAATCAATTAATTACAATCGACATACAAAAAAACAGATAATGTCACATTAATCCTTGTTGACGATCTCATCATTTCAGTGATGATTGTTAAATTTCATAATAAATCATAAATAATAATTTTTTTATTCAAAAAAAAAATGAGTATAATCATTATTTTTTGTTTGTTCAAAATATAACTCATGTTTAGATCAGAGGTTTCTTATGAAAGTTTGTGTTATTAATCAAAACTAATAATTATTGCTGAAGAAAATCAAAAAACTCAATATGTAATCATTATTACGTAATTTTTAAAATAAATGATTACGGTCTCTGTTTTCTTCAATTATTTCTAGTGTATATTGATATTTGATTGGAAATGTGAAAATACCTATATTTAAAATGAAAATTACAACAATAACATAACATCAAAGATTATAAAAAATCTTGTTAAAAGTGACCGTAACTAAACGTAATAAAGAAGTATTTGAATGACTGTTATACTAAATTATCAAAATCTGCAAAAGCTTATTCGACTTTATTTTTTTTTTTGAAATTTCAGAATAATAAATACATACCAATATTTATAATTCATATGCCACGCCCACAAAACCTCATTAAACGTAAACATAAAAATTGTCATAACAAAGCATTCAATTAAGATACAAAACTGTATACAAGGTACAAGGGATCGCGGTAGACAAAATTTATACAAATCAAACATCAATGAAATTATCAGATTAAAACTTTGCACAAATAGTTGCCTCAAGGTATCTCAACTTTTGACCAAATATTGTAGAAATCGGACTATAACTTTTCAAGGACCGAGACCCCAATGCATTTGGCTTATTTCTTACCAAAAAAAAATTGGTCAATCTTTGAGGTCTAGTATGGAAATTCAGGGAGAATATTTTTGTTATGACAGCATGTTCTTTGATCTTTGTTAATTACGAGAGTATAAAATGTTCGGTTACACCCGAACTTAGCCCTTCCTTATTTGTTGAAGCTACAATTTTCGAGTGGGTAGTATATTTATATACATAGTATGTGTGTAGATAGGCCAAACAAGTAGTACATATTTAGGTATTAGTTTCCTTTATACTATTTGAAACTTATCGCTACTTGGCATTTCTTGGATTTGCACTTCCATATAATGTATTTAAACTTTCTAAGAATTCTCGAAGCAATAATCTCAGTTTTTATTTCTAATTTCGACGAAACTGCATTAGTATTTCATAATTATGCATTATATGATTTTATCCCAGTATAAATATATCTATATACATGAATACAGATGTATGTACACATCTCGAAACATGCCGTAAAAGAGTATAATATCCTAGATTTGTTCACCTAGCGGTTGTTTGTAACACCGAAACAGATGTTGACAATTACAAATTCCATCTACTTTACAGTATATAAATACATATGTATGTACATACAACACATAACACAGGACATACATAATACATAAATCAAAAACCAACCAAGATTTCGGAACAAAACTTTGCACAAATAGTGTCTTCAGGATATGCCTACTCACATCTCAATATAGTCGAAAGCGGACCAAAAATTTTAAAGCCAGCTGATACCGAATAATTGGACATCAGTGCTTATGGCTGACCTTATCTCGAAAATATCGGTTACTCCTTGAAACATATTAATGAAAGTCAAGATTTGCAATCTTTTCCTGATAACAAAGTATCAAAAATGGGTAAAATCTTCCACCAGCCCCCATATATCTAATATAAGTCGAAGAGCCGTCTTGCATATAGAATACAATAATGAAACAACAACATAGAGGATGTCGCTAAGCACACATTTTTTAAATGCATACGTTGGCAACAACGAAATAGGCTCCACCCTTTGGTCGGCTCCTTGAACGCGGGCAACATCATAACTGTCATCAGAGAATGTTGATGAGTAGAGAAGGAGCAAATGTTAAATGAAAACTTTTTGAGTACTAATTTGTAATTCCACAAGAGGGAACATCGAAAAGTATAACTTCGAAAAAGAAAAATACACCACACAATATGCGAAATGCTATAAATAGACACAACGAATATTCCTACATGAAAAATCGTTGCGCATACCTATTTAGATTTATGTTTTCAATTTCTATGATATGACAAATTTATAATTATGAAAAACCTTTTGAATTAAAAATCTGTATTACCGGTAAAAACCCCAGAATTCATAATAAAATAAACATTTAATAAGCTAGTTTTCTAACTTATGTATGTGCGTTGCGTAAGCAATATACTTATTAAACAAATGATAATAATAAAACGGTGGCTAAGCGGCCACGTTTCCACTTTGTGGTGGCTTAGGTCGTAAGCGGGAAGGGGTTAAGCACATTCCGAATACGAGCCTATACGTTCGAATCCTAAAACGAATTTTATTTAATTTTTTTATTTTATTAATTGGAGTCTAAGCATATCATAATTCAATTTCTTTAATAGCATATTTTACTTCCTGAGATAATTAAAATATATCAGGAAAATATAATATGTTCATATGTTTAGGTTTATTGAATATTTCCTTATTATGCGTAATTTACACAAATGTGATAATCACACTACATTCTTAAATACACGTACGCTGATGCTTGCTTCTTCTTGCCCGCACAGCAATGACTTTGTCTACGCTTTTGCTTTTGCGAGTTGAACAATCGCAGGCAAGGAGGGATTGGGGCGCACCGCCACATAATTATTTCAGATATATATTTATATTATCGAATTCAGTTTGAAAACGATTATAGGTATGAATTTATTGGTTATATATATATATATATAATAATATATATATAAATAATATATTATATTACGAAAATAATTCATAAATGCATCAGTATTTTTCAATACAAATTAAGCAACATATCAATATATTATGAGCCCTCACTTGACACGCCTCATTGTCATGGTGGCAAGCCAACGAAATAACGGCGAGTTCGCGCGGACATTGTGTTGTTGAAAAACCAAATGACGACTTTGCCGACAAACATACATATTTATATGCATACATACAAACGAGCTCGCATACATATTGACGCCAAATTTTGCGCATCGTCGCGGAGTTGACAAAATTTGTTTCAATCGACAATGTCGATCGGCTATGTTGTCTCGTTTGTCCTTTTTGCAGTGGTTTGCTATTGAAAGTTGACTTATGCTATTTTGAAATATTGCGATTACCAATTGGGCTGCATTTTCATAGCGTCGTATTTAGATAAAATGGGCTAAATCGAAAACTATGAAACAATGATAATAAGTAAACATATAAAAGTACTATATGGATGTTGCTTAGAATATATAGAAGTAGTTAATGATTCATATGAATGTCAATTTAATATAAATTTATTTATGCCATAAATAGTGCATAATATGAAAAATATAAATATTATTTAAACTCGAATAGGTCATGTTGCCAATTCTCCTTTCTGAAGTGAACATCAGACAAATTCTTCAATTTCTGATTTTTAGCAAATGTTGTAAGGAAGCAGCTTGTGGGCAACATACAAAGAGAGGGATGGTAGGATTTTCAGTTATACAAATTGTAAAATTGAAATTTGCTGATTCTTCAATTTTACTGAAGACATTCAAATCAATTTCATCATTTTATTTTCGCGCATTTGCGTAGGAATTTTATATGAAACCAAATGTGGTTTACAGGCGCACAGAAAAATAGCGCCGCGCAGAGTTATGAACGAACGCACTTTGCTTTGAAGCAGCGCACGTTCCATATGAATATTTGTTGTCGTTGTATATGAAATACTTAGAAAATAAGCCGCGAGTTCGCTTGAATATTATTGGTCGATGATGGTGCGTCTACGTTTTTTTGTCACTTGCGCGAGTGTTTGATTTTTGGGAAAGACATATTGAGGGACATACATATGTACATATGTGTTCATATATGCAAATATATTTGGACATGCGAATGAAGGAAGGCAATTTCAAGATATATATATGGACATATGAACATTTGAAGCAAGTAAACAATAATAGCTGTTTGAGTTCACAGATTAGACTTAAGAGCTTGAATATCGTTTGTGGTGCTGCTTGTATAGCACACTTCTTTATGGCAATGTAAAATATTTTGCCTAAGTTCATATCCTATCACATATTTTTATATACTCTTTTTTTATGTTTATAACTCTTTTTATTAAATGATATTTTAGTTCTATTTTCATATTATTTCCTCATTACTTATATTTTCTCTTCATAAGTCAATTATTTTCCTTTTTATTATTTTAAGTTTTGTTTATGCGCATATCAAAGAACATCTGTGCATATGTATGTATATACATTTTGCTTATAGAGTGATGTAGTTCGTTTCGTCAGAGAACGTAAATGAATAGAGAAGGAGCAAATGTTAGCAGTACTAAAATGTTAATTGCTAAGAAGGAACATCGAAAACGCGCAAATTGGAAAATAAAATTTCACCACAACTATCAGGTACGAAACGAACTACACCACTCTATAAGCAAAATGTATACACATACATATGCACAGATGTTCTTTGATATGCGCATAAACAAAACTTAAAATATAAAAGGAAAATAATTGACTTATGAAAGAAAATATAAGTAATGAGGGAAATAATATGAAATAGAACTAAATATCATTTAATTAAAAGAGTTATAAAAATAAAAAAAAAGTATATAAAAATATGTGATAGATATGAACTTAGGCAAAATATTTTACATTGCCATAAAAGTGTGCTATACAAGCAGCACCACAAACGATATTCAAGCTCTTAAGTCTAATCTGTAACTCAAACAAGCTATTATTGTTTCTTAGCTTCAAATGTTCATATGTCCATATATATATCTTGAAATTGCCTTCCTTCATTGCATGTCCAAATATATTTGCATATATGTACACATATGTACATATG